CTTGCGGAAGTATTAAAAATATTTGCTTGTAATATATATTGATATAATAGAATAATTATAATTTCTATATATGTTTTAATTATAATTAAAATGAAAAAACTATAACTTATATTTAATTATACTAACATAACAGTTTTAAATTTTTCCAAACAATTACAATTTTCTAAAAAATATGGGATTATTCTGAATCGATTTAAATTAATTAAATTAATATTTTTAAGGGATGAAAGATATTCCACTTACCGTAACCCGCATTTTTATTAAGTGCCTTTTAGTGAGTTGACAACCCTGCCCGTACTATTTGCTGTGTGCTACCACACACAGATGCACCTTTTCACACATACACTCTCCAACACTCTCTCATTCGCTCTGGCACATAAACATCTGCTGTTGCTTTTGTGGCAATTGCGATGCGATGATGAGCATAATGATTATGACGATGCTGCCTCTGCTGATGTTGTTGCTGTGACGTCACAGCAGTGCGTATTGGGAAAACTCAACTGGCGGTTATACATACACTTCCATATGTACAATCTTTGCTTACATACACACAACCTACGGCTGTTGTTGTTGTTGTTGCGTTTTCTTTTGGTTTTCGGCATGCGCCCTGAATGCACGACAACAACAACGAATCTCAATGCTTGTGGGATTTCAGTTATGCTGAAAGGGAGAAGAAGGAGGAGAATGACGACGACGAGGAGTAGGAGGAGAAGGAAAGCAGCGAGCCAGAGGCTGAGGAAAAGAGAGAGAGAGGCCAGTGGCGGCGGCACACAAATTAAACTTAAATGCCCCCCATTCACTGGCGATGCTGCTACCGGAGTTGCTGTGGCTGTTGCCTCGCTGTTGTTGCTTCTTTTGCTTGTTTATGTGGCTCTTGCAGTTTGCCCCGTCTTAGTTTTTGTTGCTGCTTTGGACACGACTTTAGCATCCATTCCCAACGTCTTTCGTCTTTTCACTCGGCACTGTCGCAAATAGGTACAGTGCAACTTCTGCAAGTTGCAACACTAAATGTTGTATGAACCTTCAGTAATAGTAACAAGTTCTATTTTGTTTGGTTAAATGCATGGAGTACTTGAGAGAGTTACTAAAATTCTCCCAAAACTAAGACATTAAGTTGAGCTTGATTTGAGATTAAGCGTTAAAAACAAATAGTAGTGTTTTATCTCTAAGTTCACGTTTATATTTTTCCTAAACCTTACAAATTATTCACAAAACTGGGATGTGAATAGAACTTCTATAGTTAATTGATTTTTTTATCAATAAGATAATCTCCATTATCCTTAAATAATAATAAATTTATACAATACTAATCATCTTTCAAACCAATTTTCTAATCAAATTTATTGCAAAAATGTAAATCCTATAATAAATATTTTAAGTTCCTTGTAAATATTTTAAAATGCCACTAAAAATGATTAAAACCTTCTTAACTACTTTGTGCTTTAAATCCACATTCTTGAAGCTTGACTGTAGTTTCTCTTTCTCTGGTCGTGGCGTCTGGAACGCCACGTCCAAATCCACTGCAAGTCCGCCGCTTTATCGCATTTATTGCTTCATGGGGTCTCAATTAAGCTGTTAAAACCAGTTGAGGCAATCTATCGCCCGGCATTAAAGCCAATCAATAATTTACGGCTCTCCGGGCCCAGTAAAGACCAGTGTCCAGAGCACACAGGATGAGCTCAATCAGCGTCCGATGACGATGACCAACTTAAGATGGCGTCCAGTTGATGTTACGGGAATCCGGCATCCGGATGATAGCTGGCACACGCTTGATGATTCTGCTCAGGGAGCTAACACTAGCTCGGGGATTAGCGTCAGCTCGAGTGGTTCTAATTGCCAGGAGAACGGAATCGATACTCCTCATCGGGGAAATTGGGTATAATTGCGCTATGAGAAGTAAGAACCAGCGGGGAGTCCCCAGTCCCCCTGCCATGTGTGGATGAAAAAATGGGAGTAATACAAAAGTTACTCTCGGGTAGAGAAAATTGGAAGGATCGCCTAATTGGATTTAATGACCTTTTTCATAAAATATGGTACGTTCTTAGATATAGGATCCGATTGAAGAACGATTGAGAAAAAGCTTCTCTTAGTTATAGTTTCTATAGAAAATCGATAAGCCTCTTCGATATTTCTTGGAATTTAAGGCCTCTCGGCAATTATTGAGTAAACAAATAATATGTTATACCCTTTTAGGGCACTCGAATTATATAGAGGAGCTGGCATATCTTTTGAGAATTCATTTTCAACCTATAAACCCAATATAATCTTTATCCTTATCAACAGCGGAGTCGATCTAGCCATCTCTGGCAGGAACAAAATTTAAAACAAATTGTATGAGGGATTACATCATTAAAATTGACAACAAATAAGATACATTTACTAAATTTTACTTCTAAATAAAGTATGAAGATCTATTAACCTAACCAAAACCAACATACGAAACTTTAAAATTAAAATGAATGCTTTTTTGGCTTAGCTGTGAGTTCTTTTAAATTTGATAAGTCGAAAAAATTGTCAAATACAAATATTGATAAATATCGATTCAAAGATTCCGAGTATTTTAAGCATAGCTATTATCAATTTTCGATTCGATCTAATAATTCAATTGCAAACTGCAAGGTTATATAAAAACTTAGACCCTTTCTTATTTTTATTTATATAAGAGAAGAAGTTCTAGGAAACAAAACAAATGTCAAGTCAGTAGTACGTGTTTTATTTTTTAAACTCTTTTTGGTAATTTTTAATTTGAAGTTATGTTGGACACAAAGGCTTTGTCAGAGTCAACAGCAGAGTCGATCTAGTATGTGTTTCTATCTGCCAGTTTCATTGCAAACTAGTCACTCAATATTTGATTTATCTTAAATAAATATCTGCTAATAGACTTAATAGTAAATAAGTCGAAAAGGGCCATCGGACGGTTATTTCATATATGTATGTTTGTAGCTGCATTAAAGAACAATCAGGTTTCCAAAATGTTAAATTAATTTTATGGAAATTAGTTTCCTTTCTTGCTTAATCTTATTTATTGTGTGTTAAATACGGTTTTACTAAAACCTTAAAAATATTATGATGTTTTCATATCAATCAATGTTTTTAGAACAATGTTAAGGTATGTAGAATTTGCAATAATTTTGGATATTTAAATTGATTTCTTAGAATCTCATAACATTAAATCCCCTTGAAAGCATTACTCATCGCAGTTCCTGATAAGAATTGTACTTTGATTTACATACTTCAAAGCTGCGCGCCTTGAATGAGTCATAAAACTAAAGCGAAAACCTCCTGCAAAATGTATTCTTATCACGTTGATTAGGTACCATATTGAGGTAATTATGTATACTGTTTTTTCTAGAAGCTTTTCTACTGATGAGATTTGCATTCCATTTAAATATATAAGTTAAGATCTCAAGATTGTGAGGATACCGTATTTATTTTCTACCAGTATATTGTTTATAGAAAAAGATCTAATTTTTCAAATTTTACACTAGGAAAAAAAGTATAAAATATATTATTGTATATTGAAAAGATCCTGAATAATACTCTATTCCTCAATGGGTTGATAATATAATATATATATATCTGCAACTCAATCTATGTACTTTCTTTTCCCTTTATAAAGTAATTCTATCAACTATAATTCTATCAAATATTGAGAAAACAACTTAAATCGTACCTGTTTTGACTCTTTATTGTTTGAAAAACTATATTTGCGGAAGTTTTTATTATACAGTAGTTAACATAACACTAAAGACTAAAAGCGAAGATGTAAAAATTAACTCATACATTTGTGGCATAATTTGATTCCTTTTTGAAAAAAATTATAAAAGGAACGGATCCCAAAGAAATCAATATACAATTCAGAGGGCAAATATATGTTTAATATTATTTAAAAATAAAATTGTTCTATATGTATAAGCCCTAATATAATACGTTCTTTTAAATAATCTAATCTAATTGCTTTAATGAATTTTTTGTATATCATATAATATCAAAATATATCGTTCTCCAAAATACGATTTTAAAACAAACGTATTTGGAAATAAGTTAAAATCCTTCACCAATAATCCATTCCTCAACTATCGATGAGTTGCTTTATCTAACTTGATAAAAGATTAAAAAGCCAAAATTTTTAGAAAGAACAATTCATTTTAAAAATAATCCCTGGTCTTTAAACTAAAAGACGCTGATCAAGAATATAAATGATTTATAGTAAGTGACTCCTTCACGGCGCTGCAAGCTACTGACTGAAATTATAATACGCTGTAAGGGTATAACGACAAAGTCTAGCTTAAAAGCTTATGAATATTATTATTAAAATTAAAAACAAATTCCCCTTAGAAGTAACAGTTATTCCTTCTCATTTCCCTTCCACGCATAACCGTTAGATCTGGATCTGCAATGTGTGCGGAGGCGTCCGTTAACTGTAAATTCGCCAAGACGGAAACGGAGTTTGCCTTTCTCATTGTTGTTGTTGGTTGCCACTGATTGGAGAAAAGGGAAAATAAATAAACAACGAGAACAACAACAACACAGACAGCGATAGCGTGCGAGCGAGAAGGGTTATGGGTACAGCTTTTACATACGCCTACGTGCAAATATGCGATTTCTGCTAACGGAAATTGCAACTTGCGATAACATTTTCCACATACATATGTACATATGTAGCTACTTATATACATACATATGTACATCCATATACAGCTAGGTAAGCATTTTACAACTCTTGCTTATATACCAAGTGTTTGTATACATATATAGGGATAAGACCCGAAAAGAGTCATAAAACCTCTGCCATTTATGTGCAGCCCTCTTGCCTCTTGCTTCCTCCCCTTCTTCTTCTTGCTAATACATACGGACACGAACAAAGAAACAGAGAGCCAGAAGGCAACGGCAACGCCGACGTCAGCTGCGCTGCCCGTAGCCGCGACCGAAAAAGCAGAGCCCACAAAAGAGCGTGTGTTTCAGATTCAAACTAACGGTTGACGAGAGCGGTTCGGCGACGCTGTGCGACAAGAGAGCGAGCAAACGATTGAGAGTGTGACGCCCCGCAACGAGAGCAACAAAATACCTGACCACGAGCGCGAGCGAGATAGCAGTCTAGCCGTCCAGTAACAAGCCCGAGCGAGCGAGACGGCCTACGTGTGTGCGAGCAACGAAAAAAGAAAACGAAGACAGCCAGCAAGAGTAGTTGGCTGCGAGAGAGAGTAAATAGCGGGCGGGCGAATACATAACGGCAGCGTGGTCGTCGTTCGTCAGATCGAAAAAAAATCTTGAAGCGAGCGGACGTGTGCGCGGTCGGTCGACATCGAGGCCTTACTTTATCGCTAAATAAACAAAAGTGAACTGAACCGAAGGCGAAGCGTGTTTACATTAAAACTAAAACTGCTGGCTAAGGTTTTACAAATAAATAAATAATAGCAAAGTAATAGTGAGAATATGAAAACAAAGGGGGCCAGCAGCTACTTCCTTTGTGTCTCGTTGCTCGTGTGACAAATGCCGCAGCAGCAGCAGCAGCGGCAGCAAAACCAAATGCCACTAGCAGCAGTCGGTTGGCTTATGTACGACGCGCGCGAGTGTGTGTGTGCGCAGAAAACATAGAGCAAAGCATAATACACAATAAAGGTGGCCACGAAAGCAGAGCAGCCGAAAGTGCCAGCAGAGCGCATGATAGTGTGTGTGTGTGTTTGTGAAGTGAAGTGAGGAAGAAGCAAGAAGCACAAGGCAAATGAAACGCTGAGTTAAGTAAAAATAAAATAAAACTCAACTCTATACTCTGTGGATTATCAACATACCCTCTTTCGGATTGTTCCTGCCATTGGATAAATAAAAAAAAAACACCCACGATGCCAATTAATTGGCTGGATTATTAACGGATTAAAATCTGAAAGAAGACAGGTAATAGACGTTATCCAACACTGTTGCCACCGGCAGCTGTTGCGCTCTCTCCCCATTCCCCGCTCACGCCTTTCTCCCAAATCTCTCTCTCCTCCTTGATTGCCCCATTCCCCAACAAGTGAGAATTTCGATTGGACACACGACAATTGAAAGGGGAGCGAGTGTGCGTGTATGATTCGACTTTGTTTTGCTGCTTGCTTTGTTTTCTTTTTATGTTTATTATGTACTTCTTTTCTTGAATGAAAGTGAGTGCGCTGGTGTGTGTGTGTGTCTGTGTGTGAAAGAGGAGATAAAGCATTCTCCCCGACATTCTACGAATTTTCGCTGGCTTGTCACAGTCGCGTTATGTTTCGTCTTTCTTGTCCCTTCGTTTAACTTCCCCTTGCATGTCGTCACACACACACACACACGCACTTACACACACATATTTAAATCAGAAATTCCGCTGGTTTTTTTATTATCCTTTTCATGTTGGTACTTCTCGCATTTTTTTTGCGCGCGAGAATCCCTGCGACCATGGGAATGGGATCACAAGGAAAGGGGTGAAGAAGAGAGGTGGATGGAGATGTGGAGTGATGGAGTGGCAGAAGCAGAAGGTGTGTTGGAAGGAGACAGGGAGAACAACACTTAAATGTGATGTAAAAAGGATTTAAAGAGCCTTCTGCCGCGCACTTTTTTCGACTGCACACAGAGAAAAATTGTAATGTTTAATTAGGAAATTTACAGAAAGTTAAGGTTTAACAGCGTATTTTTTTTTTTTAATAATAAATCATTTGTTTTTTGCTCGTTTCAGTTGAAATTTCAAATTTACAAATGCAAAAGCATAAAACAATTATGTGGAAAATTTGAATTAATATGTTAACACTTAATCTTATCAAAAAATACATAATTTATTTTATATAATTAAATAAATAATATAGAAAATATATTCCTCGGACAATTTAAGTTATAAAAGAATAAATTGACAGAAAATTAACAGTTTTGTACTTTTTAAAAACTAAAGGTTTGTTGAACTAAATTTAAATGATCAACTTTTAAATTTATTAAGTAGACACTTTATTATTTTATACCAACAATGTTATTTATTTGAAAATTAAAAAGGTTTTGATGTTTTTCAAAGTGAATTTTAAGAAAAAAAAAAAAAAAAATTTTTATACTGACTAAAATATCTAAATTAAGCACTAGAGCCCTTCAATTTTCTCTCAGTGATCTCTTATTCTGCCCTCTCGCATATCCATTCATTCATTTTCCATAATGCCATCATATTTCCCTGCATGGAGTTGGAAAAAGTTTTTTCGGAAAAGTTTTCTGTTTGTACCTTGACTTTTTAAACTGGCGCGTTGATGCAAAAACAACTTGAAATTGTTTGAAATACACATTTTTCCCGCCCTCTTGCCTTGGCATCTCTGGTTAACTCCGCTCCTCCGAAACAAAACAAAACAAAGCAAAACACCACCCCCAATCTCAAAACCCGAACCCATTCTCAACTCTTCCTGGCTTTTCTGCTCCCCCGAGTGCTGTGGATTTCAATATATATTCGACGTAGGCATTCCCATGGCAACTACAACATCCATTATCGCAGGCCCCGCACATCCATCGACTGATTGCATATAATAGCTGGCAGATTGTTTTATGTTCCTTTCTGTTTTTTTTTTTTGTATTGTCTTCAAGTCCCAGAAGCTTTAAATGCAGATTTGAACTCCGGTTATGACAGTCTGGGATTTGTCTGGTGTCTTTAAATATTAATACTACTATTTAGGCATTTGATTTTGTGTTTATTTAAGATTTTAAGTCTTTTATTGTGCGGAAATTTAAATTGAGGGCAATGTAGAAGCATTGTTTTATCATTTAGAACAATTCCTATGTTAAAAGGAATATATAAAGGATTATATAAGAGTTTAATTTTCATTCAATAAGTATTTATTATAAAATATCTTTGAAATTCAATTACCTTATATATTCACATGAATTATATTCCAAATAACTATTAGAGGAAATATTTCTTTATTTACACCACCTGGAAAAGCAATACTTTGATATTTTTATTTTCATTTTGCAAAATATATACACACCTCTACATTCAGCACAAAGAATCGAGCCAAAGAAAAGATTGCACTAAAGAAACACAGACAAAAACACGATCCCACCGAGTTCATTAACACTTAAAGTTTTCCCAGAAAATGGTTTTCCCTTTGCCGGTCGCTCCTCCGCTCCGCTCTCCATTCTTTTGTGAGCTGCAGGCGAGCGAATAAAGCTTTAAGCTTTTCCCCCTTTACAGCTTATTGCTTTTCAGCGCTCAGCCACTGATTTATTTATAATCTTCAACACAACACTCTCTTGACTGGAGCTCAACTCATTTCCATTTTCTATTTTCTACTTTCCACGATGCTCGGCTTTATTCGCATTTAATTTCAACTTCTTTTTATCTATTCCGCAGATTGACGACTGACGCTTGTGCGAAAAACAAAAGCGAGAGTAGTATTATTACTATGATGACGCCAGAGTCGAAAGCAATATTGCCAGCAGCAGCAACAACATCAGCAGCAGCAGCAGCAGCAGCAGCAGCATCAGCAACAGCAGCAATGGCTCACACACAAAAGTCGCAGTTGTCAACGTTGGCCAAGACAACAACAACAACATCATCAACAACGACAGCTACAAAAGCGGCCAAAAGCACTGCCAGCAATGCAAATAGCAATGGCAAAAAGCTGGCTTTGTCTCAGAAAACAGCAACACCAACTAATGTTGATAAAATGCACAAGCAACAGCAACAGCAACAGCAACAGCAACAGCAGCTTTTTGCCGCCAGCAGCATTAAACTAAAAAGTGAAAACACATTAGCAACAACGGCAACAGCAACAGCAACACTTGCCACCAGCGGCAAGGCGGCAAAAGCCATATTAGAAAAAAGAAACATGAAGAAGGAATCAACGCCACCGGGCACGAGTGCCACTGCCATTGCTGTAGAATCCGTTGAGGCCACCTTTTCATCCTCTTCCTCCACCTCATCATCGTCTTCATCTTGGTCTATGACCAGAGCGGCGTCTGAGGAGGCCAGCAGTAATGGTGGCGCCTCCGCCGATGAGGAGAAGTTGGAGGAGGAGCAGCAGCAGCAGCAGGCGGCAACGGCGGCAACGACTTCCGATTTGGCCACAACTTCAAGGCCACGCCCCGTACTGCTGACGGCAGTTAATCCGCACATCATCTGTCACCTGTGCCAGGGTTATCTGATCAATGCCACCACCATAGTCGAGTGCCTGCATTCCTGTAAGTATATACGTATATCTAACTTCCACAAAAATGTATCTAGTATCTATTGGGGAAATTTGAAAAGTCAATAACCTTTAAACTAGCTGCCGAGTTGAACATTCAGTTTTGGAAACTTTTGCCCCCTATTCTACGAAATTGTAATGTTAAATGCTTGACTTGAAACATGATGTAAATGCAATAGCTATCTTTATGGTCAAGTTCAATTTGAAGACGAAACATAGCAAAGTACAAATATAGTTACATTTTTAAAGCTTTGAACAAATAATATAAGGACGTATTTACCCATTTAATGACAGTTTTATAGGGTTATCTTGCTATATAAACAACTTTTCTTACTTCTTTAAAAGGATTACTTCCTTGTGGTGAAAAATGAAGTAAAAATTCAACTTAGAAGTGTGTTGATTTCTTTGTGGTCAGACTCCTTACTTAATATTCCTCGTTGCCCTTCTGGCTTCACATTAAATTTTATGTAGTTTTCAACTTTATCCTGTAAACTTCATTCACTGTTCATAGACTGGGCTTAGTTGCAACATCTAATCGCTTTGCCTTAATTAGAATGCCAAGTGCCGACTAGGGCATCTAGTACTCTCCCTCAACCCTCATCCCTCCGAAACCAAACCAACCCAACCTCCTGCTGTCTAGCAGTTCCGCAAAATTGCCTAGACGCGATGAGTTATGTGCGCTTCAGGGATGGGAAGGAGGAGGAGGTGGATGCGGAGTTGGCTTATCCCCGGGAGCAGGAAGAGGGCCACCAGACGACACGCAGATGTTGCCGGGTGCGATAAGTTTGTGGGCACATTAATGGCCCCGGCCACGAAGTACTTAGCCCGATTGATTGAGAAACTGTTGAGAACTTTGTGTGTTGGCAGGGGAGAGATGATCCCTAGATTTGCTATCAACGACATAGATATTAACACGACATTAGCATTTCAGTGTGCAGAAAAAAAAGAATTAGGGCCATAAAACTAGCAAATGCAATCATACATCAACAGTTGGACATTAAAAGTTTCCCCCTATTTCTGCAAAGTAAGGTTAATTTCCATTCAGCTCCCCCATTTGCTCCTTTTTTTCCTTACCTTGTTCCTGTTTTGCGTGGTTGTTTGTAAATCTAGGAAACCAATGTGTTGATAATGGACAGAAAGATACATTTGGTCAGGCTCATTTAAATCTGTTGGCGGCCCAGGGACAGAAACCCCAGGCACAGATACAGATACATGCCAGCGTGTAGAGTATGTAGAGCACCCGGGAGTCCCATCTAACTGTCAAACGAACCGGACTGGCGGCCAGCAGGGGCAAGGGGACTGGACTGGACCGGTGACCGACCGGACCTGGCACTGCTGCTGCTGCTGCCACTGGGACCCAGGCCAAAGCCAATACCAACACCAAATGGCAACAGCAACAGCAAAAAGCAAGAGCAAACCAAAGCGAAACCGGACTGTGTGGCAGCAACAGCTGCCTGCCAGCAACGTGTGCTTGCAATCACTGTGAGAAAATGAAATGTGAAATGAGGGTATATTCATCAAGTAATTGTTTGTTGAGGGGTTGATGGAACGAAGGAAGAAATAATAATTAAATGGATAATTGGAATCGATAAGGGATTCATTTATTGATTAAGAAAGCGTAACATTTTAGACTTGTTTTAGAAACGCTATTAGTTTAAATGAATAAAAATTTTTTTAGCTGGAATAAACAGCTGTTTTAGACAGAAAATAGACTACTAAAAAACACAAGATTCAATTAAGTTCAACATCTCAAAGATATTTTTATGCAACAGATATGGAATATAAGATAAGTTTTATAAAAAACCGTTATTAATGATATTAATCTGAAATTTAAATTTAAATATTATGAATATTGCACAGAATCTGAATAAACTAATATTGTTATTTGATTTTATAAATCAAAGATATTCATAAATCCTACAAAAATATAACAAAGTTTCTGTAGTCTTTAAAATTATATAAACGAATTTTTTAAATTAGACTCCATTAACAACCAATGGACCTGGCTTACTGCATATTAAAATATTCTAACATAATAGAAAATAATACAAAAAATAATATAATAAAAAATACAAGAAAAAGAGGACCCTAAAATGCTTTATAAAACTTAAATATATTTCTCGCATAAGAATTATATAACTTGAAATCTAAACAAGTACTTAAAAGGAGACAGACTTTCAATGAAAGCCTTTAATTAAATCACAAATAGAATAGTAAGCATAAAATTTGAAATAAAAACCTGTATATTAAGAGTAAAGCTCAATGCTCTATTATAAAACTTCTTTAATTAATTAGTTGTTAACTTTCATTAAACTGTAGGTATGTAAATATTTATTTCTCTCAGTGTCCTGATGCTACTGCACATCTCCTGCATAATGCTGAACACACTGGGCACACACTACCATTCGAGGCCATTTGGCGGGCAGTACAAGAATTTTCTTTAATTTTTTTTTGTTTTGCTGGCTGCCACCCCACAAAAGGCGCCTGACCAAACCCCCAGAAATTGCTCTGTGCGAATTTTTTCCTTTTATTTTTCTTGTTTTTGTTTCTCCCCTGTCCCTCCTTCCTCCTTATTTTTTTTATTATTATTTTTTTCGGCATTGGAGCAAGACTGACGGACAAGCGTAACAGGCGGCATTGAGGGCCAGCTTGGACTGACTGGCTGTGCGACCCCCAGCAGCAGTTTGTCCTGTGCTATCCTGTGCTCCAGTACTACTCTTCTGTGCCTCCCCCCAGGAGTCTCCCTCCCCCCACTCTGGGTGACAGTTGTAGCGTGGCAGGACTTTGACGGGGGGTGAAGTGGAGGAGACAGGCAGACAGACACTGGCATTGACATTAAAGTCAAAACAACTTTTTTGCAGTACTTTTATTTCACTCGTTTTTCCCCTGAATTCTGTTTGGGTTTAATGCCTTTTCCTGGGCTCCTTCCACTCTCTCTCTCTCTATCTCTCTCTCTTGTGTTGGGTACGTGGGTGGTTTGATTGCGTTTCCTCTTTCGGCTTTTGCGAGTGGGGTGGTTCGGTGGCTTTGCATAAATATTCGAATCATTGAAAGCTGTTGAATTTATTTATGTGGAAAGTACATCGTAATTTGCCTGCACATACATTTGGAATGCTCAGCTCGCAAAGCCCTCTAATTTATATATCTACTTATTTTTTCTTCTCTTTTTTCCAGTCTGCCACAGTTGCCTCATTAATCACCTGAGAAAGGAGCGATTCTGCCCGCGGTGCGAGATGGTCATCAACAACGCCAAGCCGAACATCAAGTGAGTACGCAAGAGCCCTTTACAGATACGTAATAGTACCAAGTAACCCAAACGGAGTCGTCACTCCCATCAGCGTCATCTTCACCGTCATCCTCATCCTCATCCTCAACCTCATCCTCATCGTCTGTCTTTGACAAGAAGCGATTAGATGATAGATATATAATGCGAGTTTGAGTTACTGAAGGTGCTTCAGACTGTGATTCGTCGTTTGTCTGTCTCGAAAAAGTAAATGGTTAGTGGCTCTCAATGGGAAACAACAAGCCAGAGATGTATCTCAAAAGGCAGAGATGTATCTCGGGATCTTTAATGGGGATTCAGTGAAAGATATTTAAGCTTTTCCCAAAATGTGTGCCTATTGAATATTTTATTTACTAAAAAGCTTTATAAAAAGCAAACGAGATTTTGTTGTATCAGAGATTCCCCAAAAATAGGTTTTATTTGTGGGGAAATATAAGAAATATGAGCAATAATTCAGGAACTTTAATAAATTTAAAACACATTTGGTTTTCTTGTAACTTAAATTAAAGATTTTAATTTGTTCGTCAATTCAAGTGACAAAAACTTTGCAGAAATCTTTCCATTAATCAACAAAAATAGGTTTAATTAGTTAAAAATTCAAGAAGTAATTGTAAACGCTAAACTATGGCTACTTTTCATGTATCTTGGCATCTAATTAAAACCAATTTCATTTTATTTATTACGTTCTTAACAATCAGTCTAAAATTTAAGGACCAAGTTCATTGGTTCCTTTATACCAGTCACAAAAAAAAAAAAAAAAAAAAAAAAACAAATCAAATGGAAATATAAGACATAATTGCAAATATAAGTATACTATAGCTATATTTTATATATTTTGTGACTTAATTTTAGAAAACGAGTTGATTTTAATTAGACTTTTCATTCCATTTACAAGAATTTTCATAAATTTTTCTATTAATAAACAACAAATATGTTTATGCAGTAACATAGAAGTTAAATTTACAAATCTAGCATAATATAGCTACATTTGTATATATTTTGACTCAAATTTAAGATCCAAGTTAATGTTAATTGGTTCTTCTATTTAAGTCTCATAAATCCGCTTACTTTAAAAATGAATCCCACGAATTTCTCAATTGAAATTTATATTTTTTGAGCTTTTTATTAGATGGTGTCTCTGGACTTGGGTAACATAATGAGAAAATCAGTACAAGATTAGCTTATTCTGCAATTTATTTTCCACCTCCCTCTCAAAGTCAATTTTCCCGCCCACAAAAACGTCACGGAAATTTGGAGACTCATTCTTACAGCAGCAATTTTGTTTTAGTTTTCGCTGCGAGATTGATTTTCCCCAGGGGGGAAGGAAAGGAAAATCAAGGAAAGGAAGCTTCTATACCTTCTGTATACTCCTGCTGAACCTGAACCCAAGTAGTTTTGTTCTTAAATGTTTCTTTTACTCTTTGGAGGTGAGGACCACACACAACTTTTGGGCATTTTTTGGTGGTTCGTGGCGGCGGCAACGATGGTGGTTCTGGGTAATTGTGGTTTGAGTTCTTCGAGGGGAAGGGAGGAGGAGTAGGAAAAGTTGATCAAAAAACCTTTGAACCGAGAGCAAAGTGGCAGAGAGATAAGAAAGACAGCCCCCTTCTTGGGGCTGTGGAGTAAAAGTTTTGCCAGTGGTTAACTTTATTTGACGGGGCAGGAGCATTTTCTTTTGGGGAATACGATTACTCGTATATCTAACTGCCACTCGCTGTGGCACGTCTCAATTCGTTTCATTCCATTCCATTTCGCTGGGCGTAATGAAAAACACGTCTTCTCTTCCAAGAGCTGAACCAGCGAATATATATATATATTGTATATATCTATTTAAGCCTTGGGGCCATCGCGCACACAACTTTAATGGGGGGTACATGGCTGGCATCCGCATAGAAAAAGAGCCACCCGCCGGGCACCCGTTTGCTCCTCTGCCTCTGCCCCTGCCCCTGATCCACCATTACCAACCATCTCCCCTTAACTATCTGCATCTCCATCACGTGGCGCACGTTGTAATCTCTGGCACACACACACACACACAGAAGAGAGATAATGAATACAAATTCAAAGAGCGGCAATATCATCGTGGGCTGAGCAAATGAAGAGCAGGTGAATGTGAATGAATGAACCTTTTCGGCTCTGGTTCGGTTCGGTTCGGTTCGGTCTGCTCGCTAGCTGGCCAAATGGTGTGAAGTGGTAGTGGCTTGGCTCATGATTCGACGGGGTTGGGGTTACACAGAGAAAAATTAACATATTTAAATCAATATTACAATTTAGAAAGGTTAATATTATTTAAACGAGTGTAAATTAATAATTTACAGGTTCAAATATATACATTTTCTTTTAAGAATTGTAAATACTCTGTTATTTTACATGAACTTTTTTCATAAGTATTCTTTGTGTTCTTCTAAGAATTGTAAACATTCTGTTAGTTTTAAATGTTATGAACAAAGTATTTGTTTAAGTAAAGAAAAGCAAATATATTGATTTTTATTATGATAAATAATTTTCCCAGTAAAAATTGTACAGACAAAGTTATATAAAATACAATAAATATTGTTGAAAAATTTTAACTTTTATAGTTTATTTAATACAAATAATTATTTTGTTAATACCTAAAAGTAGGAGATAAATTTATCTATAACACATTTTCAATAGACCTTCAAACAGAATACTGGCGTCATGTATGTTTTAGACATTTTTCGGGGTTATTAACGATACTAAATCGCTCCATAAAAAATACCGTATATAGAGTATTAATTAAATGATAATTAGAAATTCACAGTTTTCAGATGAATACACATTAATTATATTATATTATTATATATTTTCGTACCTTAAAGATTAATATCTAATCTTTAGAACCTCTATATTTTATTTTTTGTGTAAAATTGAAGATCTGCTGATATAGCGGGGGATTTCGAGGGGTTACAAACAAGTGCCTTTTGTGTGCCGCTGGCCATGTTTTCCATGAATTTTAGTAGTATTTGTTGTTGTTGTTGTTGTTGTTAGTAGTAGCAGTAGTCTCGAGTCTCCAATTAAATTTATTGCAAAAGTTTATTGTTTAACCCACAAAACGAAGCAAAGGAGAACAGGAAAAGAAGGAGGAGGTGGGGATGGGAAGGAAAGAACACAAAAGAAAACTCGGCTCTTTTAAGCTTGGTCTTTACAAAGGTAAACACACAAAAACAAAATAAGATAAATAAATAGAACAAAGTAAAATAAACTAAAGCTAAAAGTTTTTACTTGACTCGGCTGGCACTCTCCTTTGTTTATGTGTGTCAGAGGCCGGCCATGTTGTTCAACAGTCCCAAAAAAAGAAAACAACTGATATAAAAATGCAAAAAAAAGACGAATAAAGAATAAAGAAATTAACTAAAAATAAAAGAAGGAACTGCAGCAGGCTGGCACACGCATTTCCAAGAAAAGCTGAAAGCAAATCCAAATGCGTCTGGGATAATTAACGGGCGGGTCCTTCTGCTCGTTCGCTCGATGCCTCGAATTTGCCGACGGCTAAAACGATGTCTTGAATGGGAAGCAGCTGACAACAACAACAGCAGCAACAATAACAACAACACAAAGAACACCAACAACTTCACCAACAACCTTAATAATAATGAACAAGAAGAGAAGCAACTGCAATAAATACAATAAAAACAACGTTTGACTTGAAGGAGCTGCAAAGGGAGCAAGCGAGAAAGCAGTGACAGCTCCTGTTGGGATTCTTTTTCCTTTTTCCTTTATTTTTTTGAAGACTCCTTTACTTGAATCCTTTTGTGAACAAGTAGGGGGATGCAGAAAACCAGTCAGCGGACAGCGAATAAAAAGTTAGGTTGACTAAAAGTTATAAATTAAGTTCAGTTAAGCAAGAAGAAAACGGGTTTTTTGTCATTGATTGGCGGATAAGATGAGCTGAAAAGTTGTAGCTCTAAATTAAGTTACAGAGATAAGTTGGGGGATACTCAAAAAGGGATTACAAATAATGTCTTGATTAAAGTTTTGAATGTTTTTTGATTAATTTGCATAATTATAAACTCTATAAAATCATAGGAACTTGTTAAATTGTGGAAAATTATTATTAAAGTTTTTTTTAAATTTTATTGAATTAATATACATGCAAGCAATATATTCTTTATTAATAATAAAATACTTGATTATATCTTTTCACTTTTTAATATTTATTATTTTGTTTTAAGCTTGAAAAAATGTCAAAAATTATGTAAAATTATACAAAATCAAGGTTAAATTAGTTTTAAAATAGTTTCCGTAGAAATTTCTATTAAATAGTCGATAGAAAGGTACTCTTTTATTCTAAAACTTATCTGGTCTACATTTTTTACATTATTTATCCGGTTTTTAACTCAAAAATAATATTAAAACTTGTAAAATGATACAAATGTATGCTAAATTTGTTTTAAATAGTTCAAACTTTCTTAATTACGACTTTTGTAAAAAATTAGTTCCAAAACTTATTAAGTTTACATTAATTAACATTTTTATCCTTTTTTAAAATCAAAAATATCAAAGATACTCCTAAAAATATATATATGTTTTAAAATAGTTTAAACTGAAATATATAACTATATATTGCACAGAAACACACGTTCCTAAAACATAGGAGTTATAAAACTTATCTAGTTTACGTAATTAAACATCTGGTTATGTTATTTTATCGTTATATCGTTTAACCCTTCCAATATATCGCTCACCCTTCCTGGTTTAATTAATATCGATCTCTGTTATAAAGATCTATTAGAGATAGCACATTTTTCCGCTCGCTCGAGGCAAATGATCGATAAATTTATAGCCCCAGGCAGACCCACTCCTATGTAAATGAGAGCCGCCGCCGCCGTTGTTCCCAGATCCCTATTCTCCGGATGCTTTGCCCTTTTCTTGAGTCTTATATACAAGTATATTTACCTCCCTGACTCTTTTTTTCATCTCTGCATCATCTCTGGGTTCCTCTATTCAAGAAATACCTTCTTTTTTTGTTGGGTTGTCGGGCTTCGCGTTCCGTTTCGTTTAGTTATTTTGGTTGAAAATGATTGAAGTGAGCGCCTGGCTTCTGCCTGCGGCCCTGCGAAGATGTTCTTAAAGAGGTCTTAAGGCGCAGAGTTTGGTCTGTTGCTCTCCGTGTGAGTGTTTGGGGGAAACCACCACCATAGCCATCACCATCACTACTACCGGTACCACTGTCAAGGCAGCAGGCACTACATCCACATCCACCACTATCATCGTCGCCAGCGCATGCCAAGGAGCAGTTGTTGCCCTCTCCTCCCCTAGAGTTTTTTCCTTTATATATATACATATATATAGTATTTGTTGCGTGCCATTGAAGCAATAGAAAATTGCATCTGCCGCCTAATTTGTAAGGGCGCCTTTCGCCCCGTTGTGTCCCTCATTTCCGCGCCAAGGAAGTCGAAGTCCTGTCCCGACGACGACTTCTTCTTCTTCTGTGTGTGTGCCGTCATCCGCTACCGGTGACTTTTTTGCTTCTTTTGTTTGTTCCCACTTTGTCTCTTTTCCATTTCGCTGAGCAGACTTCCAGTTCGAATCTAAAAACCCAACCCCTAAAAATGGTCTTTTCCTAATCCATCTTTTACAATTTTTCTCTTGCAGATCGGACACCACGCTCCAGGCGATTGTCTATAAGCTCGTGCCGGGCTTGTATGAGCGGGAGCTGATGCGCAAAAGGGCCTTTTACAAGGATCGGCCCGAGGACGCCGCCTTGGCCACGCCAGAGCAGCGGGGAGATGATACCGAGCATCTAATATTTAGTCCATCAGATGATATGTCGCTGTCGTTGGAATATGCGGAATTGGGGTATGTATTAGAAACTAACTCTTAAAAAAACTCTTAAAATATAAAATTGGATTAAAAACTCTTTTATAGAAATGTATTTACTTTCCCAACTAATCCTTAATTTGCGCTTACTTTCTCTCTGTCTATAGTGAACTCAAAGTCGACTCGGAATCGGAAGTGATGGATACGCTGCGTCCCCGTTACCTTCAATGTCCGGCCATGTGCCGGGTGAGCCACTTAAAGAAGTTTGTCTACGACAAGTTCGAGATCGATGCCCAGCGTTTTAGCATTGATATTATGTACAAGGTCAAGACAATTGTCCTGCTGGATTACTACACCCTAATGGACATTGCTTACATTTACACCTGGAAGCGAGATGCGCCCATGAGATTCTACTATCGTGTTTATGAGTCGCCGCAGCCTTTGGTTAAACCAGTCCTGCTCGTCGGGTTGTGCCCTTCACACTGGAGAAGCTGGTGGAGAAAGTAGAAGAGCCAATGCCTGTGCAGGTGGAGGCAACGCCTGCTGAGGCAGCTCCCATTAAGCTGGAAGAGATCAAAGAAGTGGTGGTGACGCCCAAAACGGAACCCCTCAAGCTCGTTCTCAAGGAGTATGCTGGAGAAGCGGGAGAAGAGTCACTCGCCTCAGGCCAGCTCCAAGCACTCGGCCAAGAACTCGCCACCCACTCCCGTTCCCTCGTCACCTTCGGAGCCCAACATCAAGCTGAAGATTGACCTGTCCAAGCAGAACAGTGTGACCATTATCAATATGTCTGATCCCGAGCGTCGGGAGATTGTCAAGCCGCTGAAGCCCGAGAAGGAGTCGCGTTCCAAGAAGAAGGACAAGGACAGCAGCAGTCCCAAGTCCTCGCCCAGCTCTTCCTCCTCCTCCTCCTCCTCATCCAGTTCTCGTCTTCTTCCAGTGGCGAGCGCAAGCGCAAGAGTCCCAGTCCACTGACAGTGCCACCTCTGACCATACGCACGGAACGCATCCTCAGTCCTAGTGGAGTGAGCACGCTGAGTCCGCGTGTCACTAGCGGGGCCTTCTTGGAGGATCCCAAGTCGGAGTTCCTCAAGTCCTTTGCCTTGACGCCCATCAAGGTGAAGGTGGAGTCGCCAGACAGGATGACCAACAGCCGAGCCATAACCCCGCCTTCATCTGCAGTCCAGCAGCAGCAATCCTCGCCGAAATCCAAGGCCAACTTGGAGGACAGCATGCTAATGAAGCCGCCCAGCTGCATGCCGCCCAAGTCCATAGCCTCCTCGAAGCGCAAGAGCAAGGAGCCAGTGAAGGCAGTGTCCAAGAAGCCCAAGCTATCGCCGCCACTGCCACGGGAGGACTTTAAGATACGCCTGCCAGCCACCAATGGTAATTCCCCAACAGCAGCCACGCCCAAGGTGGAGAAGCCGCTGATGCCGCCACCCGCAAAGCCACCAATGCTGGCCCCCGCAAGCTCCAACCGGCAGCGCAGTTTGCAACACCACCGCCCTTGTTCATGTCCCACCATGCCGGCATGCAGATGTCCGCTCCTGGCAACAGGACACCCATTGCCAAGCGCTATCAACCCATTCTGCCCAAGGCATCGCGTCCGAATCCCTTTGCCAATATCCAAGCGATGTGAATAAGTTGCTCAAGGACGCGGGCACTGAAATCAAATCGATTTGCGGCGGAGCAAGTGGAGCTAATCCGCATGTCTATGGACCCGGGGAGATAACTAAAATGGGACCACCGCCAGCGCCCGTAAATGGCGCAGGAGCGGGAGCAGGAGGAGCATCCCCCGCAGCCTCGCGAAACCTTGGCAAGCAGATGCCGGCCACGAACAACAACAAGGGAGGCAGCAACAACACTTCCAACAACTATCTTAACTTGGCTCTGTTCAATGCCAGCAAGTCCAAGGGCAAGGAGGCGCCACCCGGCTGCCGCACACCCATGTACACCCCCAATTCGCCCATCTACTCACCCAGTTCGCCGCAGTACGTGCCCAGCTACAATATACCCACGATGCCCACCTACAAGTACACCCCGAAGCCAACGGCGGTGGCCAATTCGGGAGCTGGCAATGGAGGAGCTTCGGCCGCTGGCTACCTGCAGAATATGCTAGGCGGTGGCAGTGGTGCTGGTTCGCTCTCAGGCCTGTTTCCCTCACCGCCCACGAAATCGGATCAGAACACCAATCCGGCGAAAGGAGGCGGTGCATCCTCACAGCAGACAGTACCACCAGCAGCAGCAGCAGCTGCTTCTGGCAATGGCAATGTCAATGGAATCTGTTTCCCCGCAGTGCCAGTCCCATCGAAGATGCTCCAGAGAAGCAGCAGCAGGTGAAGGTCAAGTCGCTGCTTACCTCGTGCAACATCAACATTCCCTCATCGCTGTCCATCACCATTTCGCGGGATAATGGCAATCCATCGTCGCCAAACAGTGGCCAGCATCCCAAGCACAAGAGTCCGGTTAATAACTACATAGAGATCGTCAAGCTGCCCGATCAGGTGCCAGCTGCAGAGACTGCCGCCAAGGAGGCGCAGCAGAAGCGTCAGTCGCCAGGGCCAGTGGTTGCACCAGCACCTCTGCCCATGAAGCTGCCACCCCCGCCGCCCTCCAAGGCAATTCCCTCGCCCCAGCATCTCATGTCGCGCATGACGCCGCCACAGGTGCCACAAGTGGCCACAACAACGCCACCACCGCCCAGTGCTCCGCGTGTGATCACGCCACCCAAGACATCACCGCCTCCTCCACCGCCTTCGACCAAGGCCACTCCCCTGAAGCCTGTGCTGACGCCCACGCAGGCGGACAAGAAGACACCGAGTCCGGAGAAGCGCAATGCCGCCCAAATGGGCAGCCACTCGCCCACGGCCAGTGAGAACAAGTCGCCCAAGGGGGAGCTGCAGGCGGAGCCAACTCGGGGCTGCCAGCCAGAATGGAGATCCGTCGGCGGCCAAGAAATTCCGGCCCATCCTGCCGCGTCAGAATGCCATGCCCGATCTGGGGCCCAAGTTACCCGCCCTGGCTCCCTTCAATCCCGCCCAAACTCCCGCTGCTCCTGGCAAGAAGGTGGCGCCCAGCAAGAAGTCACCCAATGCGGGAGCCACTGCCTCGCAGCCGGGACAACAGAAGCAGCAGCAGAAGCACAGTCCGCCGCAGAAGAACCAACAGCAGCAGCACAGCAGCAGGGAAAGAAGGCATCGAAGGCTCCCACGCCACCACCGCTGACACCTTCGCTGCCATCTGTGACCAAAATGCTGGGACATCCCAGCCTGGGCGGTTTGCCCCGTTTGAATACTCCGCTGGGCATTGCCTCCAGCGCCAGTGCCGCTGCCGCGGCTGCTGCCTCCGGTCAACTGGATCTGAGCAACTTCCTGAAGGAGAACCTGATGCGGGCTCAGGTGGCGCAGGCAGCACAGGCCGCCCAGGCGGCGTCCGCCGCCAACCAGACGAATATGTTGTACAACTTTGCCCAGATGGGTCACATGTCGCCGGCCATGTACAACTACCACCAGGCGTATCTGATGGAGCAGCTCTCCCGGATGCAGCGGGTCGGCAACGATGTGTTCAACGATTACCTTCAGAAGCTGAAGACTGCGGCTAACGCTAGTGGTCCGGCAGAGGGTGAGCCCAAGTCAGTGATGCCTATGCTGCCCTCAGTGACTCTGCCCAGTCCGGGAGGAATTGCACCACAAGCAGCCAGTCCAAAGACATCGCCCGTGGCCGCTGGAAAGCTAACGGCGGGTGCCACGGCACCGCAGACCAAGGGAGGCAACGGCGGTGGCAACAGTGGAGCTGGACGACATCAAACGGCGGCCACCAGCAACGGAGCTGCCCCAGCTTCCCTCAAAAGCAAGTGAGGGAGCAGGAGGAGATGCTGGACAGACAACCCCATGTAGCTCTAATTAATTTTTAAAGACCTTGTTTTAGTTATTCATTAACGTTACCCCTTTTTTGTTCGTCGTTTGGCCAGAGAGCTCGCGACCAGAACCAATTCCTCGCCCTAATTACGGTGTCCAGGGGAGAATCCACCCCTGAAATTCCAGGTTGGTTGGTGGTGGCTTCCCCCTTCGTCCCGCCAAGTGTTATACATCCATCCGCGTGTTATCGACGCTCTGTAAATATATATATACACCTTATAAAATAGGAATATAAACATAAATGATTATAGATTTATCAAGTGATGTTGAAATGTATTAAAGAACAATAGGAGGATATAAGACAGCGATTCAGAATCGATATATACATATATATATGCGAGATATACGAATTAAATATAGTTAAGCTAAGTGTAAATATTTTGTATAATCTCTTTTGTACTTTAAAAACGAATCAAGCAAAGAAATAGAAATCTAATTTATGCAAAACAAATCGTTCGTGTCGTTTTTACTTTCTATAATCCCCAAATGAGTTTTAGCTGGGCAGGGAATGGCCTGGTCTGGCCTAATCCCAATGCTAATCAACTGGCCAAGGTCAAAGGTCGACCTTCTTTCCCCGGGGACAACAGACCGACCGCTGCGTTTGAAGCGTTTCTAATCTGCCAATTCCCTTCCGAAAAATAAAATGTCAAAGTGTCTTTAAAATGAAAAATGCCCGTGAACGAGCGACCGGGTGGAGTTCGAACTTCGAACCTTTTGGACATTTTTCGGACCTGAAGAGACAATGGAAAAAATACGAGATTATATATTGGGTTTCTCGTCGGGATTGCTTGCATTTTCCTTGCCGCCTTTTTTGAAGAATTCAATAAAAACCGATTGGCAAATCTTGTGGCCTTTGTTATAGCTACTGCCTCTTACCTTTCATCTGCTTTTTTCCCGCTTGAAAAAGTTTCCGATTTCCAGCGAAAAAGAAAATACAAAAAACTGCCAATTTTCACGAATGTCTCCCAAAAGAATCCTCGTCTGTGTAATTCCCATAATGAATGGGTGATAAGATAAGCAGACGAAGCAGAAAGCAAGTCTAGGGATGAAAGCAGGACAACAGGAAAGCAAGAAAGGACATGCTTCCGGAGAGGGTTGAGATTGGTTGAGAATATCTTTTGGGAAAACCCACTCAAGGAGATTTATAGAGGTGAGCTAACCACCGAAATGGAAACTTTGCTCAAAAAACAATTAACATATGATTCCCACCTGAAAGTTATCTTTTGGGGCTATCATCGTCGTCCCCCATAATTTATGTGATTGTGCGGTTTAAGCCGAAAACTCCAATTACAATAATTAGAGCCCCTTGGCGCACAAGTTTAGTACAAGCTGCTCTTTCGGTTTGGGAAAAAAGAGGAAGTGGAAACCACACACACAGGGGCGTTAGTACCTTGATTACTTTGCCATATGAAAACCAGTCAAGTTGCCCCGGCTTTTAGCGCATTAAATGAGCATATTTATAAATCATTTGGGTAAGTACTCGCCTGTGCCTCAGGTAGAGAGGTGTAGTCCTTCTCCTCATCCTCTTCTCACATGGGATCCTTCCCATATGCTGCTGCTGTTGCACGGCATAACAATAATAATGAATATTTCATTTCAAATGGTTCGCAAGTTATAACATCATCCCAAAGTGGTTGGAAATGCATAATACAGGACTGGGATTGGAAGTAACATACAGCATGGACATTACTCAATGTTTTTCCGTAGGACAACAACTGGTTTAGCACATAATTTTCTCATTTATTATTCAGTTTCTGAAATATATTAGTATTTATTTTATGGCTGCTTCGGTTATTCTTGATTTAACAACATGTTGAGTTTATTTTGATTTGATATTAAAGAGTTTAAAAACATTTTTCAATGTTAAGTTTAACAGAACCTCTCTTTCTCTAGTGCCTGGAGAAAGAATATTGGGAGGTTGTTTGACACTAGGTGGAACTTATACATAGTTCTTTCTGTTTTCCTTGTACATTGCAGACAACGCTTAGAAGACAAAGACAGCGAGAGTGAGATAAGGCCCTTACTGACATATATATCTTTCATAAAATCATGAGGTCTTAAGGGCGCAATTAATACTGAGATATTTTAATCTTGTAATTATATGAATTATATATATGGAGGTATTATAATTATCAGCTAAACTATTTGTCTTGTGATTCCTCTGAGTTTTAATTGGAGAGAAGAAACTGGAAAGGAACTTGAAAGCTGTGGTTGCTGATTTGCTTGTGCATTGCAGGCGCATTACAGCATGAAAGAGATAGGGCGAGTGAAATAGGGCACACATCGAAGTACATTTGCGAAAGATCTTTTCCAAAATCAAGAAGTCTTAAGAGAAGTAAATTAGATTTATGAATCAAAACTGAAAGGTTCTTTTGATTTCCTTTTTAAACTGATCCAATGGGAAACCGGTAACTAAAAAGGGAAGGAGAGCTCTACGATACATACTTCGTTGCCAAAATTGTTTTAAAAGTTTTCTGACAGAGATTGTGGATATATTATGTTAATTTAAAAGAGGTAGAGGTTGTGGAATTTCAAGAGTTAATTAATTGGTTAAAAGTTTTCAAATTATTTTCTTAGAGTTAACGTACCCTGTTAAGGGACACAAGATTCTATTAAAACACAGAAAAACGGCAAAAAGGCATAAAACCGAAAAGGTTTTTTAACATTTCCAATAAATTGCTTTAAATTGAATATTTGTACAGATTTCTGCTCACAATCTCTTCAATCAATTACTGAGTTTACTGGGAAAAAATCCAATAAATCCGATCACTTGACGATCAATTAAAGCCGTTGCCCATAAATCTTTCAGACACATTCTGTGGCTCTCACCCCAAAGAATTGTATTCCCTTCAACTTGCAAGTTAACTGAAATCTTTTACGACTGTATCTCAATGAATTAATCCAGTTCTGTGGGCTCTGCTTCATCTAAAGTGTCTCATTGGCAATTTGCCAATGAGTTTTAGGATATTTTACGCAATTCATTGCGACAACCTTACGCCGTACACAGTTTTGTGGTTCCTGTATGTATGTTCGTCCTGGGCCCAAGGGCATAATTAAATTCACACTTGGCTAGATGAATGGCAAAAGGGGCGGTAATATAAGTGGTGGCAGAATATTGATTATGCGCTTAATGGAATTCTTGAACTTGGGATCACAGATTTTCCTAGGACAAACTAAGCAGATTAATTTGTTAAATGTTGCATAGGTATGTAATTTTCTTTGTTATTTTGAATAGAATTAAAGGATCTAGGAGCAAAAATGTTATTTTTTGACACTCAATTGATTTACTATATTGTAATTATTTTATATGCTATTGTGTCACATAAGTATTTTGGAATTTTAATAACGGTTTCTAAAATTTATTAAGAGTTTATGAGTGAAGTGACTTCTAACCTATTATTGTTTTTAATATTTGGTCTTAAAATAGACAGATATTGAATTTTTACCTAAATTATTAAATCATTTTAAAGACATTTTTAATATTTTTAAAGTTTACTTTAAAATTTTATTTCGGAATTATAATAACGGTTTCTATAATTTATTAAGAGTTTTTGAGTGAAGGGACTTCTGACCTATTATAGTTTTTTTGAATATTAGGTCTTAAAATAGACAGATATTGAATTTTTACCTAAATTATTAAATCATTTTGAAGAAATTTTTTAAATTTTTAAGTTTACTTTAAAATTTATTGTCATGATATGTATAGCTTTGTTCAAAATCTTGGTGAATACATATTGCTTGTTGAGGGATATAAAAACAAATCTATATCTATATCTATATCTATAAAAGTGAATATGTGTTATTTATATTTTTCGCATATTATTGTGTCTGGTTACTAATTGTTATACCTTTGCAGGGTATTATAATTTTAGTCACAAGTTTGACAGCAGTTACGAAGTTATTTCTTACCCTATAAAGTATATTTAAATACACATGTTCTTAATCAGCATCAGCCATCAAGCCGAAATTGGATCAAAATCGAAGTAATATATGATTTGAATAAATGTAGTATATAGTATCTCCTTTTAGTTGTATTATTCATTTGGACAAAGTGGATCGGTTCTTAATAGGTTAATTGCAAGTATATAAAGTATATATATTCTTGATCAGGATCAACAGCCGAGTCGATCTAGCCATGTCCGTCTGTCCGTCTATCCGTCTGTCCATCTATCCTTCTGTCCGTCTGTCCGTTTCTACGCAAACTAGTCTCTCAGTTTTGAAGCTATCTGAATGAAACTTTGTAGTTAGCCTTCTATATACTCTCACTCGTATATGTGTCGGAACGGGCGGGATCGGACGACTATATCATATAGCTGCCATAGGAATGATCGGAAAATTTTTATTATTTTCATCAAATTTGAGGTATAGCCATTTTGTATTAGTCTCAAATTTTGTGTTAAATTTCATGAAAATCGGACAACTATATCATATAGGTGCCATACAAACGATCGTTTGATGTAGAGGAAAAATTCAAATCTGTGAATGAAAAGCTGCAAATATAATATGTATAGGTGAATGAAATGAAAGCAGGTATTACTTCATTGTTTTTTAATACAAATATATATAATTTATATTGTATGGATTCCTAGTCATAGAATTTCTATCTGCAAGGGTATATAAACTTCGGCGTGCCGAAGTTAGCTTCCTTTCTTGTTTATCATGCTTTCTTGTTATAAAGGTGTTTCGATTCCTAAACTCGTTGCCCAATAATGGTATTTACAATATAAAATCTTTACTGGATCTCTGATGTAATCACTGTGAAAAACGGTCCAAGTTCACGGTCCATTAGTTCAATTGGTAAATTATTGATAATTAATTTTTGGTTAATATTATTCATCAAAAATTCTATATCAGACATTTGTTGTGTTGTATTTGTATATCTTGGACCATCTTCTTAAAGCTAATGTTACAATGTAACTTAAAACAAAAATAATAGTCTTACCTTACCTCGTTAGACGGTTCACTTGTTTGGGAAACTTCATTCTTTTTACGGTTACACTTGCAAATAGTGCAAAAGATATCGTTATTGGTTCACTAACAAGCTCCACTGTTACATATTCAATCATCTGGTTAAGTGGCGTCCATCGATCATCCATCCATCAGTTGCTTTCAGGCCGCTCAATCGTTGGACAGCCGTGTGATTGCTAATTAAATTTCATCTGTCAAGCACTTGAACTTGTCCCTTACAACCTTGGCTAATTTGTTGGCATAATGTAACGAATGCTAAGCACATAAATTGCCGTTCAAATGGGAGTTGTAGAAAAGGAGCAACTTTTTTCCAGGCCAAAACTTTTGTTTCCAAATCAATTAAAGCCGTAGGACTTGGCAACTTTTCCCCCCTCTCTCTTTGCGTTCGTTACCATGTGTGCTGCATTGGAAGGGGGAGAAAAATAATATAAACTATTCCAATAC